GAAATATTTATCCAGTAGCCTACACAAAAGTTCAGATCAACTATTTAAAAGACAAATTATAACAAATTCCCTTTATTACAAATTCTTTTTAAACTAATACTAAGTTGGTTTTCTAATACAAAACAATTATGCCTATGAGAAAACTCACCTTATTAATCTAAAAATAAGCTATGAACAAAAGTTAATATAAAGAATAAAGTCCACCCAATTATTCGTTAACAATTAAAAAAAGTAATGATGAAAACACTAATGATGTCATTCCATAAGCACACTTTTTTTTAAATATAAAATTTATTCTTGCTCTAGAATTTCCTGCCTTGGAGTACGTTTGAAGAAAAGTACTGCTTCTCTACAATAGGGTTCTTTTCATACAGAATACAAAGCACTATTTTTATAACTAACTTATAACTACTCTAAATTATAAACATTTTACATGAAAAACCATGGAGAAGAATAAATACTAAAATAAGACCCCCCAAAATCATTACTGACATAATGAAATACCTAGTAAATCAAAGGAATTAGCTTTACTACTACAGTAGAACCTTGACATGTATGAATTTACTAATATCTCTACCAGAGCAGTACTACTCAGAAGCCTAGCATATAATAATTTGTAATTTCGCTAAAGTGAAAATAGGATGCCTACCTTTAATAAGAGTAGTATGTATATATAAGTTACTTATCTGGTACTCAGGGCAAAAAGACTATCCACAACTGCATCCTATTAAGGCTTTATTGATTTCTATAGTTATCTCATATGAGATAATAGTTGTGAAGTGAGAGAAAATGCTGGTGCTGGTGTCAAAAGTGAACAGCTAAAGGTGTCTAAGAAAATCATGGTTCTAGGCCACAAAACAAATTTTGGACAAACCATTTCTTTAAATGTCAAATCTGGAAGCAGCTTGGATCTCTGATACATATGAGTGTGTGCGTGTGTAATCAAAAAGTGACCAGTGGAATGATGTCAATTATTGTCTTCTGCCAAACTCAGTCTGGGGAGACAAAATAACTAAATGCAATGTAGTTCTCTGGATTGGATTCTGAAGCAGAATGAGGACATGAATGGAAAAACTAATGAAATCCAAATAAAAATCTGGAGGTTAATAAACAGTAGTGTACCAACGTTGGTTTCTTAGTTCAGACAAATGGACCACAATAAAAAAAATGCAAAAATGGATAAAAGTGGGTAAGAGATATAGGAGAATTAGCTGTACTATCTTTGTAACTTTTCTTTAAATCTAAATTTAATCCAGGGGTGCCTGGGTGGCTCAGTCAGTTAAGCGTCTGCCTTTGGCTCAGGTCAGGATCCCAGGGTCCTGGGATTGAGCCCCGCATCAGGCTCCTTGCTTTGGCAGGGAGCCTGCCTCTCCCTCTCCCTCTGCCTACTGCTCCCCCCATTTGTGCTCTCTCTCTCTCACTATCTCTCTCTCTCTCTGTCAAATAAATAAATAAAAATCTTTTTTTAATCTAAATTTCATCCAAAATAAAATGCTTACTCCAAAAAATTAACTAGACGCAGGAGGAAACGAAATAACACTAGCAAAAACCAAGAAAAAGACAACAAAAACAGACATATTTAGTTATCAGACACAGATTTTTAGATAAACATAGATATAAATATATTTACTGGGCGCCTGGGTGGCTCAGTCAGTTAAGCGACTGCTTTCGGCTCAGGTCATGATCCTGGAGTCCCGGGATCGAGTCCCGCATCAGGCTCCCTGCTCAGCGGGGAGTCTGCTTCTCCCTCTGACCTTCTTCCCTCTCATGCTCTCTCTCTACCATTCTCTCTCTCTCTCTCTCTCAATAAATAAATAAAAATCTTTATAAAAAAATCTTAAAATATATATATTTACTACATTTGGGGAGATAAGAGACAAGACTGAGAATGCTGACAAAGAACTGGAAACCATATAAAGAATAAAATGGTGTGCATCTGTCAATTGTTTTTAAGTTGAAAGGGGAAAATCAGTATCCATATAGCAGAAAAACCTGGAGAATACCTTGATTGGTCATCAGAATCACTAATGAATGACAGAGAGACACTGTCTGCTTCTGGTTGTGATGCCCCACAAAGAAAAAACATGCATTTAAGTAACATTCAGACCAGAGATACATACCCTGCATCTAATCATAAAAAAAAACAAAAACACAAAATTAGGGGCATTCTGCTTATTTTCAAAGGGAGAGAGAGCCTTTATTCTACAAAACTGTCTAAAAAGGCAGAGAAACTACTTCAAATTGAATGAGAGTAAAAAGATATGACAAGTAATGCAATGCCTTATCCTGATGAGATCTTGGAAACAAAGGGGAAAATTCCACAAAGGAAATTACTGGGTAATTGACAAAATTTGGAAAATGGTAGATTAGATAAAAGCATTATATCAATGTTAATCTGTTTGAGGTTGATAACTATACTGTGGTTATGTAAAAGAATCTCCTTGTCCTTAAGAAATACACATACACACTAAAAGTGTCGCCTGAGTGGCTCAGTCAGTTAAGTGTCTGCCTTCGGCTCAGGTCATGATCCTGGAGACCTGGGATTAAGCCCCGCATCGGGCTCCCTGCTCAGTGAGGAGCCTGCTTTCTCCCTCTTCCTCTGCCACTACCCCCTGCTTGTGTACTCTCTGTCAAATAAATAAATAAAATCTTAAAAAAAAAGAAAATGGAACAGGGTATTATACTAAGTGAAATGAGTCAGACAGAGAAAGACAAATAGTATTTGTTTTCACTGATATGTGGAATCTAAAAGACAAAACCAACCAACCAAATAAACAAACAGAAACAAATTCACAAATACTGAGAACCAACTGGTGGCTGCCAAAAGGGAGGGGTTTGGGGGATGGGCAAAACAGGTAAAGGAGATCAAGAGGTACATACTTTCAGTTATAAAATAAGTCACAGAGATAGAAAATACAGTATAGGGAATATAGTCAGTAATACTGTAATAATGTTGCATGGCAACAGATGGTGACTACACTTACCATGGCGAGCAATGAGTAGGTTGTATACCTGAAATTAATATAGCATTGTATGTCAACTGTACTTCAATAATTAAAAAAAAAAAAAAAGGGAAGAAAAAAGAAAACCACTCCTAGGCACATCAGTATAAACCTAGAAAACTAAAAAAAAGGAGAAAAAAGACAGATCACCTTTAAGGAAGCAGCAGACTAACAACTGACTTCTCACCAGAAATAATTCAAGGAGCCAGAAGACAATGAACTATATTTGAAAGTGCTGAAAGAAGATAACTGCCAACCTAGAATTCTACTCCCAGCAAAAATATCCTACAAAAAATAAAGACAAAATGAGGATATTTTCACATAAAGATAAGTAAATCTGCCACAGGAAGGAAATGATAAAGAGTCTTCTCCAGACAAAAAAAAAAGGTTATCCCATCTAGAAGAAAGTGAGGGATGAAGGAAGGAAAGAAAATCAATGTAATGATCAAATATGTAAGTAAACCTAAATAGTGGTGACTACATAAAACAATAATAATGTCTTGTGGAGTTTAAAATACATACGCAGGTGAAAAGAATCTAATGCTCTTGCACTGTCCAAGAAGAAAGTAAAAGTACCAATTGACATCAAACTTAAATTGATAACTGAATCTTTAAGGTAACCACAGAAAGAATTACAAGAATATGTAATTTCCAGGTCAAAAAGAAGAGCTATGGAATAATAAAAAATGTTTCTGATCAATCTAAAATAAAGCAAGAAAGGAAAAAGAACACAGAACAGGCAGGACAATTAGAAAGTACATTGTAATATGTTATATTTAAATCCAAATATATCATTGGTTGAATTAATGTGGATTAACCAACATCTCCCTTAAGAGAAAAAACTTGTCTGAATGAATAAAAGAAGAAAGCTCAATATATTCTATTAACAGTATAATCATATAGAAATGCTGAAAGTAAAAGAATAGAACAAATCATACTATGTAAACACTAATCAAGAAAAAGTTAGGGTAGCTATAGTAATATTAGACAAAGTCAGCTATCAAACAAAAGACATTATTAGAAATAAAGAGGACATCTCATTATCGTGAAACAGTCAAATTCACCAGGAAGATAAAGCAATTCTAAATTTCAATGTATCTTATAAAATAGCCTCTAAATATATAAAGCAAAAACTGTCAGGAACAAGAAGGAGAAACAGACAATTCAATAATCCTAGTGTGAGATTTAATCATATCTTTCTCAGTAAATAATTTCTTTAAAATAAAAAAGGATAAAATATTTGAGTACCACCATTAACTAAACTGCACCCAATAATTTCAGAATCCACATTATTTTCAGGTGAAATCCAAAACATTCACCAAAATTGATCATATGCTGAACTATAAGGCAAATCTCAAAACTATCAAAAAAATAACTTGTAAGATGCAGAAAAATTGGGAAACTGAAAAGATTAAAAGAATAAATATTTATAACCCATCAGCAGAAAACAAATATTTAGTATATCTCTAATCAACATTTCTCCAAAAGAGTATATATAGTTTGTTTGTTTTGACCTTAAAAGCCTAAGAATTATCTCCTTATTCTTAAACCAACCTTTATAAACTTTATTTTAATGACTGTAGAAATCTAAAATTTGTATTTCACTTCCTGTACAACCCTCTGAGGATAGTTTAACAGTCTCATTCCCCAAAGAGTGCCTAGGACTGAAATAATTTCACATGTTAATTCAAAAAGTAAATTTAGGTCTAGAAAGTTTTTAATAAGTAGTGCACAGAGGCATTACTCTCTCATGTATTTTAAATAAATATGTTTCCTCCACAAACTTTCCTTTATCTGACTGTTCTTGATAAGTATTCAAGTGTTCTTACCTCTTAATTAAAGAGTATGACAGCCTAGAGGAATGTAAACTTTCTTTTTTTCTAAATCAAATAAACCATTTAATAAATAAATATATAACGCTGTAGCATCAATTCAGATCCCTAATAGAACTTCCCTTTCTAAAATATCACACAGAATAAATGTAACATAGTCACTTACCACTTGATCTGTTTTTACGACTCGATTTCCCTCCAGTAAGAAGCATCTTGAGACTATTCCGAAACATGGTTGTGGTGTTCTAGTACTCAAAAAAACTATAAAAGAAAAAATATGGGAAAATACGTTAGAAAACTTGATTTTCTACTCAAAATACTATTAATAATTAATTTTAAATGCACTATCAGGAATTGTGTTTAAATATATAGTACAGAAATTTTTAACAATTTGACAAAAACATTAATTAATTTAACTTAAATACTATAATACTTTGAGTATCCTAAGAGATAAAGGTAGATATCAATAAGGGTACAAAGAATGTACTCACCATAGAATAAAGTAACCATAGATAAAGAACTGGGTAGCTATAAATACAGCCTACCCTTTCCCTGACTCTCCTATTCGTGGACAACTTTCCCATAGGCCCAACACACACATCCCCAAAGTTTAAGAGTCTAGAAACTTCCAGAAGGTGCACATTTTCCATTGACCAAGCCAGAATTCACCTCAAAGACCACTAATATACATGAATGAGTGCCTATCCTTTTTATGTCCCACTTCTATCAAAAGGAAAATTCTTCCAGTTGTGCTTTGGATTATGTTCTCTCTCACCTCCTCAGGGACTTTTAGCCAAAGACCATCTTCCTTTTCTTTCTCACACAGCTTTAATTTTTTTCTCCCTATTGAATCATTCCAATCATAACAGAAACATGGTAGTATGTCCTAACCAAAAACAAATAAGCAAGTCCCTCTCTTTATTCCCACATGGTCCAATTACTGCTCCTATATCCTAACTCTTCATAGCAAAATTTCTGAAAAGTGTTGTCAGTACTTGGTGCCTCCAGCAGACTGAACAGAATAAACATGAACTAAAATGGAGGCTAACAAAAAATATCCAAACCAAAGCACTGAGAAATAAAGGTTGAAAAAAATGTGAGAGAATATGGAATCCACTGAAAGGTTCTACCATACATATCACTGAAATCCCAGAAGAAAGGAGAAAATAAGAAAGAACCAATATTTGAAATAATAACAACAAAGAATTTCCTAACATAAATCACATCTTTAAAGAGCTAGAGGAAAAAAATAAAAAATTTAAATAAGCAACAATCAACAGACAGAAATAACTTTCAATAGAAATTAAGAATGGCAGAAGACAATGGACTTCCTAAAAATTCTGAAAGAAAACAGGCACCAATCAAGAAATCTATTCATAATTTTAAAATGTTTGAAATGAAAATGAAATAAAGGTGATTTCAGAAAAACAAACAAGAATTTATCAGTAAAAGAAATACTAAAAGGGAATTCTTCCAACAGAAGGAAAATGATACTAGAAAAAAAGCATGGAAATGCGAAAAGGAAAAGCCATAAAAAAGCTAAATGTTGGCAAACATGGATGAACAGTGACCATAAAAATAATTACTAGCTTGTTAAGTTTAAAATATATGTAGATTTAAAATGTGTGAAAACAAGAACAAAAAGATTCAGAACTGGGATAAATGGAGTTAAAGTTTTTAAGATATCTGCATTATGCAGGAAGTGGCAGAAGTAATAATCTACATCAGACTGCAATAACTCAAAATCAATGTAGTGATTTCTAGGATAGCCATTAAAGGTTAATTGAAGTGAGAAAAAGAATAATTAAAATATTTCATTGAACCAAAGAAGGTAAAAAGTGAGAGAAAAAGCATAGTGCACATCAATAAAATAAAAACAAATAGTAAGATGGTAGCTTTAAACTCAAATTATAGTTATCGTGTTAAATATTCACTCTACTATAAGACTACTTACGGTCATAGAAAGATTAAATATAAGATGATGAGAAAAAGCACATCATCCAAAAAACAATTAAAAGGAAGCTGTCATACCTATACCAATATCAGACAAAGTCAACTTAAGGCAATAAACACAACAAAAGATAAAGAGAGACATTTCTTTTTTTTAAATTTTTTTATTATGTTAATCACCATACATTACATCATTAGTTTTGGATGTAGTGTTCCATGATTCATTGTTTGTGCATAACACCCAGTACTCCATGCAGAACGTGCCCTCTTTAATACCCATCACCAGGCTAACCCATCCCCCACCTCCCTCCCCTCTAGAACCCTCAGTTTGTTTTTCAGAGTCCATTGAAAGAGAGACATTTCTTAATAATTAAAAAGTCAAACCAACAAAAAATATCATACTTCTAAGTATGAATGGACCCAATTAAAAGCTTAAAAATATATAAAGCAAAAATATACAAAACTAATAGAGGATATGGACAAATCCATAATCACATGGAAGACTAACACACCTTTGTCAATAGCTACAAGATCAAGCAGATGAAAAAAAGTTTTTATGAGATACAAATTTGAACTACATAATTGACCAACTAGACTTAATATAGTGTATTCTTTCAAATAAAAACAGAATATACAAATTATACACAAAATACATACCAAAATGAACCACAGGCTGAGTCATAAAGCAAGTCTCAATACATTTCAAAGGACTTAAGTCTTTGAGAATATATTCTCTAACTACGAGGCAATTAAGCTAGAAGTGAATAATTTTTAAAAATTGAGAAACTCCCCTACTGCTTGAAAATTAAGTGACATACTTCTAAATAACCTATGAGTCAAAAAATAAAAGTATATAAATCACAATGAAAATTTTAAAATATATGCAATAAATTATAATGAAAATATAAACTATGGAAACACTGAGAATGAAACTAAAACAATGCTTGTAAACAAATGTAAAGAATGCATGTATTAGAAGAGAAGGATGAAATCAGTATCTAAGCTTCTATTTCAAAAAGTTCAAAACAAACAGCAAATCAAAGAAAGCAAAAGGAAAGAAAAAGAGTAGAAATGAATGAAATAGAAAACAAATCCCAAACAGATAAAATCAATGAAGCAAAACATTTGATTTCTGAAAAGTAGTAAAATTAATAAATCCCTAGCAAAGCTAATCAAAAAAAGAAAAGAGAGAGACAGAGACAGAGACAGAGAGAAACTGCCAACATTAAAAAGGAATAGGGCATAACAATAAAAAATTAAAAAAAAAAAAGGAACAGGGGACACCATTTCAGAACTAAAGGCTGTTTTAAGTAAGTAGATACTATGACAACTTTACACCAAATTTAATGTTTTACATAAAACAAATTCTTTGAAAAATACAACTTATCAAAACTGACGAAAAATTGAGCAGAAAATCTGAAGCAGGCCTATCTCTATTAAAGAAATTGAACTTATCAAAACTCCTCCCAGAAAGAAAACTACAGGCCCAGATTATTTCACTGGTGAAGTCTACTGTTTAAAGGTACAAACAATACCAATTTTATACAGTTTCCTTAATAGAAGGAATACTTCCAAACATTTTATATGAAGGCAGTATGATCTTAATTCCAAAACCTAACAGAAATTACAAGAAAAGAAAATTATAGACCACATACCTCATGAACACAGACTCAAAAACCCTTAATAAAAGACACTGAAAACTACAAAAGTTACTTTAAAAAATTAAAGAAAACTTAAACAAGTAGAGATATACCATGTTCATAGAGTGGAAAGTTCAATATTGTCAAAATGTTGATTCTCTCTATAATGTCCTAAAGAGAAAACAAAACCTCAAATTCCAGCAGGCATTTTTTTTGTAGAAATTGAGCAGCTCATTCTAAAATGCATATGGTAATACAAAGAGCTTAGAACATCCAAAGCCATCTTGGAAACTAACAAAAAAGCTGGAGCATTTATATGACCTGAACTCAAGACTTACTCTATATCTCCAGAAATCATGACAGTATGGTTCTCTCATAAGTATCATCAGACAGATCAGTGACACTGAATAGGTAGTCCAGAAAAAGATCTACACTTACATGGTCATTTTTTTGGACCAAGTCATTAATGAGTAAAGAGAAGTCTTTTCAACAAGTGGTGGTGGAATAGATATTCATTTTTTAAAAAATTATCCCTAATCTGTGCTTCACACTACATATGAAAATTAATTCAAAATAAATCAAGAGTCAAACAACACATGAACGCTAAAATCATAAAGCTTTTAGAAGAAAACACAAGAGAATATCCTTATTATTTAGAGATAGGCAAAGGATTCTTAGAACACAGAAAGCAATAACCATAAAAGAAAAAATGGATATATTTGGGCTTTATTAAAATTTTTAAAAACATCTACTCATAAAAAATAACATAACCAAAATGAATAGGCAAGTCACAAACTGGGAGAAATTATTCACAAAACATGTATCTAACATAAAACTGATATCCAAGATATATTAAGAACACCTACAACCCAACAAAGAGAAAATCACATTTTTTAATGGATGAAAAATTTGGACACTTATAAAAAGTTTATGAATGGCCAACACACATATTGAAAAAGATTAACTTTCCCAATTTGTCACTGGGAAAATACAAATTACAATGAGCTACCACTATACTCCACCAGAAAAGCAAACTTTTGAAAGACTGATAATATCAAGTATTGACGAGGATGAAGAGCAACTGAAACTCTTAATATACTGTTTTCAAGGGTATAACAGTACAATTGCTTTAGGCAGAAGTCTAGCGGTTTATTATAACGCTAAGCATATTCCTAACATAGGACTCCACACATTACATATTTACCCAGGAGGAATTAAAACATATGTGCATAAAAAGATTAATGTAACAATTTTCACAGCAGCTTTATTTATAACAGCCCAAAAGTAGCCCATGTGTCCATCAATAGGAAAATGGATAAACTGTGGGATTTTCAGTTAGATACTACTCAGCAATAAAAAGGTATGAACTATTCGTATATTCAACAACAGATAAATCTCAAAATATAATATGCTGAATAAAAGAACCTTACATAAAAGTGTATGCAGTAATCTATGGTAGAAAAAAAATCAGAATAATGGCTGTCTCTTGGGGGTAAATGTGAGAAAAGGCACAACGAAACTTTCCAAGATGATGGTAAATTCTGTATCTTGAAGAAGTTTGGAATACACAGATGTATGCATTTGTCAAAATTCAGCAAATGTTCACATCAGATTTATGACTCATACTCCATATATATTTTACCTCAAAAGAAAAGAATAAACATTGAGCTC